AATATAGCTTTCTCGGGAAATCTGGTTTACAATAAAGTCGAAACAAATATAGTGGTTACCAGATCATCATACAGGAAATAACCAAAGTAGATCTGAACTTTAGTCAGATAAGGACAAAGTAATGTTTGACAAACTACATGATATTTACACCTTCCATAGCATGTCGCCATCTCTATCATGTAAACCGCATTGATCTGGCGGTACGTCTTAGATCTCGAATAGGACACACTAGAGTTACACATTCTCATCTTTTAACATGAGATGATGCTCCTTTTTGTACAGGTTGCAAAGAAATTTTTTACTGTCAATCATAAACTTGCACAATTTTGTGATAGATATAACCGAGAAAAAATTCAGTTTCAGAACTATTTTCCTCAGCTCCTTCAAACACATTTAGCAACTACTTAAAAGAATTTCTACCAATTAAAAAAATAAAAATACGAGGAAGACAAAACCATTAGTAATAATAACAACTGTGCTAGATAAATCCATCTTCCCCTTCCATTACGGTTTTTTGTGATTTATGTGTTCTTTTAGTTCCTTCAGACAAACATAAATCATTTATAATTTAAAAATATTATAACCTTGTTTTGAAAAAGCAGCAAACACTTATATAGATGTGGTCAATACAGGCATATAATTCACTGATAATTACAAAACACAAGTACACTGCGATGGTTTCTACGCAAAAATGACCAGAAATATATTCTTTTGAGTCAATGTCTTAACACAAAAGATGACAAGGGAAACAAATCACTTTCAATGTCCAAGAAACCATCTACTCTCAAACACTTATTTAAATTCTTTACATATGGATGAATTTTCATTCACTCTGCTTCAACTTACAGAAAATTTGACAATTCATTCGATCTTAAAAAGATAAATTAACATGATAAACCATGAAACAAATTTGAAATATCTATATATTTAACTTGAAGCACTGTACATTATTTCATGTATATAGCTCTAATGTTGTTAAAACATGTCTGCAAAAAAACTGTTGTTGTTCTCAAAACTTTACTGTAACCAAATTCCAAAGAATCAAAACAGTAATGTTTAAAAATGGGCGGGTGGGTGGAAAAAAAAACAGTAATCTTAAAAAATGGCCTGTGGGTCGGGAAACTAAACTAACCAGTTAAGTTTAACTGCCTGTATCTGACCTCAAAGTGACTTTAACACATTACAACCCTGTTTATATATAAACCGCTACCCGTCTTAATTTCCATATTTGGTAATTTCTCATGCAAAACATGACTTCAGTTATAACATAGAACAATAATAAATATATTTATTCATACACATTAAAAATCATAAACCAGTGATAAATATCAGCTGATAGCTATCAATTCTGAAATATACAACCATTTCATGCATTATTGTATAATTCAAAACGGAATTCGGCAAGATATTGTTACTGCACTCTTGGGTTGTTATTTTAAAGAATACAAAGTGAGTACACGTTAAGCATTTTTATTACCACTTTAGTTTTTATAGGCTTCCAAAATGTCTTTTTACAAACACTTAACTTAATCCTATCTTAATCCTATTATACATATTAAATAAATTAATCCCATTCCTTTCGTTTATACTACTTACATTATTAATTCACTAACAGTGCCCTAATCTACTGAACATGATCATCATATTAAACAGAACTGCATTTATGACATTAATCTACAAACAAAAAACCAAACAGAAATGAACCTTTACTTGATTGTATAGATATAATGATTAAATAATAAGAGAAAATTTTTCGTTTGAGTGAAATATGAAATATATTTTCACGAAACATGATAAAATGCCACATATTTTCACGAGCTTGGAGGGCGTGGCATTTTATCATGTTGAGATTTCAAAGCTAAATTCAACAAAAAGTTGTTTTATATATATATCAGATTTTCAAACAAAAGGCGAAAGAAATCCCTTAAAATAAATATGAGTTTTGACTCCGCCCACTTTCATTTTCATATTTATATTTTATATTTATCTGTAAAAATATGAATGATATAGCACCATATTGCATGGGTAAAATCAAATAAATTCGGATATTAAAAATGTTTAGCGCTGTACTGATTACTTTTTAACGAAACTAAATCTTCTTTTCCATGCTACATGTAAATATATCTTAAGTGGACCTGTCTGCATTTGTTTAGGTTTCATGTGTAGGGAATTTTAGAAAAGTAGGTACTGACCGAATAGCTAATAAAGCAAACCATATATAGACGGAACAGTTGTCCCGACTGATCATGGTCAGCACTGATGGCATCGGCGGAATCATTTAATGATTAAACTTGTTTGCAACCTTTATTCACACATTCATGTGGAGGCCGCATCGAGCTTTTGTTAAAAGACAAGTCATTAATATTTGTGCATCTTGGATTCATTTTATAGAATGTAACGAGGAAAATAAGCTACTCAATATCTGAGAGACAATGTTGCTTAACTAAAAAATATTAGGGAATCTGGCAAAAAAACAATTTTTTTAAAATAGCAGTACAAATGTAATCTAAAGTAGCTTCTCCTTTAGCATATTAGAGATAAAAATATATGTTTTCAATTACTGAATACAATGTCATGAAGCCTTAGTCCAGTATTCTTCAAATAGAGAGTTTCATTATGTATTATTACCTGTATTTTTCTGTAGAATTTTGTACGAACATTTTCTACATCATGCTCAAGATTTTCCCATAAATCAAGAACACAGTTATTCAGGACTGAATACACTTATGTATGAAATATTTAACAATTTTGCACTAGTTTTTTGGTCATATGGATCGAGAATAGCAAACTTTATGAACAGTGTTTTCATGCATGTTCTTAAGAAGTGGTGCACAGTATGTCTTTCACCGTATTCACATATTTTTATGTTCAGTGTCCCCTTTGGCGTTGAGTTTAATGATCTGAATTGAGTACGAAATAGCAAGGGATTTGGCAGTTCCTACGCTCATATCAGCAATTTCGGCAAGCTCCCGTACCGTTAAACGCCTATCCATCAAGCGCTGACTGAATTGATGCGACGCTTGACGCTTTCACGGACTTTTTTTCTGCCGGACCTTTGATGTCATTTAGGGATTTGTGTCCCTCGAAAAACTTTTTGTGCCACCGAAACACAAGCTATCTTTCTCATTAGCCTTTTGCAACATTGTTAATGTTTCCGAAATTTACTTTATTGCAAACCTTTTTTACTTGACTTGAAATTATAATTTACGCCTTTATAAGACAGAACTGATGGGGGCGATAACATGATACTATTGTTATTGAAATGATCATAGTTTCTATGTCGTGTTATATTTTTTCTACCAACGCCGGTTATATGATCAAGAATAAGTTATATTTCATAATGAAACCACATTGTTTCATATTTGATATTAGAATAAAGATACATGAGGACGGCCTCATAATATATTGAACAGCCCTCGTATATGTATTTACCCTTTTTAAACCCAAAAGTAATCAGCCTTTGGCAGCCAGGCTTAATCAAATATATTTTTTTATCTGGATAAACCGGCAGGTTTTAAGGTGACGCTAGTAATAGAATAACAAATTTATTTTTAAGTATTTAAATACAGCTGAACTTTTGCACTTTTCAAACGTGTAATTAATCAAGTAATGCCACTATATAGGTCGCTCTCTTGTAACGATTTGAGACATTTTCATTAAGGATTATGAAGGTATAGATCACGTAAGTTTTAAAACATTATATTATTTGATTAGAAAAACTTATTTAATGTATGATTATTAATAAGTTGCAAATACATGTTTATAATATATTTAGTACAAACTAAAGGTAATGTTTGGTTATATTTATCTTCTTTAAACTCACAACATTTGTAGCGGAAACTAAACATCAGATAACACCAACTTTTCCTTTCCCCCATTTTTATGTTATCACGTTCCTTCAATTACCTTAGCCACCTGACCGTTTTGCCTTGAAAATAAATTATTATACAATGATGGCTTAAAATAGTGTTTAGGATATAGCTTATATTATTCAATTGTACATATTTTGTCAGAGATCAAAGTCTAAAAACTTACCTTGAGCGGAAATTAAGTTTTCTTGTTAAAATACAATCATTTTCATTATCAGAACTACAAAAAATACGGGTAAAATTTCCGAATTCATCACATGTGTATTGTCGTTATATATATGCATAAAAGTTATAAAAGTATTCAAAAGAGTACATATTTTTGTCTCGAATGTTGTGACGAATTTTCCAGAAGGAAAAAAATAGATTAAAAGCTTTACGTTCAACATTGTATGTTTTATTATATACATGTACTTATAGATGAACAATTGAGAAAATTAATGTTAGAGAAGAAATATTAAATGCATATTTTATTTATTTATTTATTTATGTATTTATTTAACCGCCTCCGTGGTGGAAGGGTTAGAGTCGATGACTTCTAATCCAGTTACCTCTCTGGCGTGGGTTCGATCCCCGGGAGATGCTTTGGTAGTTTAGCGCGGAGGAAGGTAGTCTTGTACTGGTGTAACTCTCCATGAACGATGGTTAGGAAACTACCCGCCTATATGACTGAAATACTGTTGGAAAAAGGCGTAAAATGAAACAAACAAACAAACATTTATTTATTTATTTATTTATTAGATCAGGAGATTAAACAGCAGATACAGAAGAAAATGTGTTTAAGTGGTGTAAAATTCATATCATGCTATTATACTAGTAGATACATGAAGTAGACAAAATCTAAAAATTGCAAAAGAATGAACATTAAAATTATCGACACAGTTCTAGACAATATTGTATCACACAAAAAAACTTGATATTTTATGTGGAAAATTAACACAATTGTCAGGTTATTGATGTGTGTAAAAAATTGAATTCTATAGATAACCTATTAAGTTGAATAAAGTAGTAAAATAAAGAGCATCGCTTGTTCTTTTATCATACATACCTTCTCCCTTTTATTCTCATGTGATTTTTGCTTTAAGTACGGACACAATTTCATGATACTTGAATTATTTTTCTTTGTAGTCCAGGCAACTTTATCAACCACAATGACTCCAAATCTTCTTCAAGCCTTTGCGATACTGTCTATGCTGTGCTGCAGCACCACGGCACAGTCGTATAATGACACGAAAACACTCATAAATGACTTAATGGGCACCTACAATAAAAAAGTTCGACCTGTAGAAACAGTGTCTGAAGTTCTAAATGTTTCTTTGACATTTTATCTGTCATGTAAGTATTTCACCTACAGATTTTCCTCTAAATGTCTTTGTTACAAAGCACAGACGCACATATTTTTACGACGGGGATCGTCCCAAAAGTTCGCATTTATGTTCCATTATGAGAAATTTTATACGCACATATTTAATTTTAATAATACATATGCATTAACAATTGGAAACTCTTACAAAATTGCATTCTTTTGAAATGTCTTTCTAAACTGATATTCCAATAACCGAAATTTCACCAATCAAATTTTGATGATTTTCGCCGACAGATATTGCTCCTATTTCAAATGTATATCGATATAATTTCAATAACCTAGCATGATCGCGTGTTTTTAATAACGAACATTCAAATTTTGCCATCATACATCGACATGTCCTTATAGCACGTGTGATTTACCAAATCAGGTTCCAAGAAGAAAAGCAAAAATGACGTAATTTTACATAAACAAAAGCAAAATATCACAAACGTATGCGTAACTCTTTAAATCTCATCAAATAAGACAATAAAATAAACGGGAAAGGTACCTTTTTGCAAATCACAGACGTTTATGAAAAGTAAAAAGGTGTCATGCAGGCTGGGGGGGGGGTGAGAAAATGCTTTGACATGCCAGTTAAGGTTTTACTAGAAAGAGACAGACAAACGAAAATATTTAGCAAACAATCTCCAGACTGAATATTGACAGACAATTTTGGGATGCAAACTGGTGCCTGATCTACCGATCAAGGAAGAAATAAATGATATTTTAGCCTTTATGTCGATTTAGAATGTCATAGTATCACGTTGTCGTCACGTTGACGTCAAAATGATGATGTAACTTGTGTCACCGTGTAAAAGAGAAATTATTGCAATTACAAATGTATACATTTGAACAAATTATGCAGATTTCTTTTTATCTAAAAGCAGTATCGTGCGAACTTTTGGGACAATTCTCTAATTATTTTGATTTATATGCTTTATGTTTTATTTATTCCTTTAATTTTTATGCTAAAATAATACTATAAAATATATAAGCTTTTAAAATGATGCGTTTAAGCTAACCCAATATTTTATTATTTGTACAAAATAACATATGTTCCATGCGTTTTGGTGCCGAAGTCAAAGAAGACGTGTTTTGCTATGTAGTTTATAACAATCTTACTAGATTCTAATAATCAATTCTAACACCACCCGCATTTTTTCCTATTGAACATAGAAGAACAAAAAGTTTGTGTTATTATGCTATAAAATCACTGTTAGACGTTCTATATTTAGACATGTGACGTAATCATTATACACGTGACTTAACCAGTAAAATGTGACGCGCTGACAATAACAACGGAAACAAATCTTTCACAAATTAGCTTAATATCAAAATTAGCTTAATATCAGGTATGGCAGCATTATTTGTTGAGGTCGTGTTAGAATCGAAATAATATATCTAAATCGGTGATTATATTGATTGATAAAATCACTGTTTGTCGTTCGGATGCGCATCATTATATATATAATTCCCCGCATTTGAACTCCAAACAGTGATGTTATTAAGCAATAAAGTCAAAGTTTGGTATATACTTTTCCTTATACAAAATATTAATTGTACGCGTCACAGAACATTTATTGATAGTATATGATTCAGTCAAAAGCACATTTTCTCCAGCATATTACAAAAACATAAAAGAAGACACTTTTTTTGGAATAATTGAAACTCATATAATAGTTCCAAGGGGAAGGAAAACAACATGGCAAAATAAAACAAGCATAACAATGATTTTTTACATCGAATGATCAAATGTGGACATAAAAATAAACAATTTTGACACCTTATAAATAAAAACTGACAATGAGTTTTTACTTATTTTTACAGCAATCATCAGCTTTGATGAACAAGAGGAGAGTCTAACAACTGCTGGATATTTAAGAATACTTTGGAAAGACAGAAGCCTGGTTTGGCAAACGTCTCAATATAATGGCGTTGCAATGATGTTTGTAGTATGTTGAACTTTGTTTTGTATTTGAAAAATTATTTATTTAGATTAAAGTTGTTTTCTTTGCAAAGTTTTACCTCCTGAAAAAAAAACAACAAACAAACAAAAATAAAAAACAGCCATAGTAAGTGTAGCTTGGTGATCTTTGGTCTCAATTGTTATCATATTTAGCAAACATTGTATCAATTGTGTTTTATCTGAGTGTACTAATCGTAACATTTTGATATAGAAATTATATGTATATCAAATGAAAGCAATATATTTGTTTTTAGCCCCAAGATGATATATGGAAGCCGGACATATCTCTGAGAAATTCATTTTCAACTTTTACTGGCCTAGGTTCCTCCTACCAGAACGTTATTGTAGAAAATGATGGTACAGTCTACTGGGATCCATTTCAAGTATTCTTTTAATTCTTACATATATCAAATGCATTCAAGTAACATTAAGTGTCGGGAATTTAAGTATTATAATTTTTATTACAGTTTTATCTTTAAAATAAGTGACGAAATAAGTTTTCAAAAATAAAGTACTTTCTGCAGTAAAATGATCGCATCATTTAGAATTTCCAAGTGCAAATCTAGTTGGTATCGCATAAAGAATAATAAACTCATTACGATCATAATTATTAGATTTAAAAAATTAGAAATTCTATAAATATTTTGATACATGCATATTGTACAAACGTTTGTGATTTTCTAATTAAAACTAATACATAACTTGTTATTTTAATAGAAAACACACATAAAATCCAGCACAACATTCATTTTAAAGACAAAGCTATAAGAAATTACTTTAGCATATAGAGTTCACGGTATTTGACAAACTGCCTAATATCATTAGAACAGTCATGTTATGTTTTCTTTACTGTAATGTATGCTTTATAAAATGATTGGTTTAAATAACACAATATTATACTTACACGGCATAGATATAGGAAACATAGAATGTTGTTTTATTACCTGGAATAAAATAGAATCTATATTTGAATAAAAATCACATTACTTGCAAATATATTAACTGGTGATCGTGAATTAACTATGCCCTTTATATTAACAGGAACAAACGTTTGTTAAAAGTCAACTTTTTTGAAAAACTGTAAATGGAATGCAGTTTATGCCATGAAGAAACTGTTGCTACGTTTTACAATGGCATTAAATCATAGATGAAATAGCATTTTTTCTACGGATTATGAACCTTATACATTTAGAAATATGATACAAATAGAATATTCTTTTTGGTTTCAGGTCATGAAGTCAACCTGTTCTGTTGATATTACATATTACCCGTATGACACCCAAGAATGCACCATTAAGTTAATCACATGGAGTTACACGAAAGATGATGTTAATCTGCTTTCACATTCTGGAATAATAAAAAGCGATTATTCCGAGAGTTCAACATGGAACCTTGTGAAATCTACGTTCGAAGTCGATAATGATATAATAGCCTCGATAACTTACACGTTAACACTGGAGAGGAAACCGCGATTTTACGTATTCAATATGATACTGCCGGTAATACTACTGTCCATCCTGAATTTATTTACATTCGTTTTACCTTTATCATCGGGAGAGAGAGCTTCGTACGGCATTACTGTGTTTTTGTCTCTTGTTGTTTATCTTACACTTGTAGCTGCTGAATTTCCAAAGAATTCGGACACAGCATCACACTTGGCTGTTTGGCTTATTATTATGGTGTCCCTAAGTACACTGGCCGTGATACTTACTATTATTGAAGCTAGAATGGTCAGTAGAGACGAAGGCAATCATCCGATTGGCAAATATTATAGAAAATTCTATGGCATTGTCATGTACCTTCGATGTAAGTCATGCAAAAAACGTGTAAATCGTGTAGAGTCGAAAGTTGCTTCGTCCAAACAAGATATCATATCTTCTTATTCAGATGAGGAGTTTAACCCTGATCTGAAGTGGAAGGATATTACAGATGCGATGGATTATGTTTTCTTTTTGGGCATAGTCATCTTCACCATACTCATCACTCTAATTTTGCTTCTGATGCTAATGTTTAACGCAGACAAGGTGACAGGGGGATACTCAAGTTATGAGCAATAGAACTTATCGTTGTACATTAAACGACTTTGAGTCACGTTACATGATAAGGTTTTATTCTCTTTTGAGAACCGTTTATTAATCCCTTTAATGTCAATTTCAATCCTATTTCTCGAACAAACATTGGATTTCGATGAAAGTGAAAGAACATAGATAACTAGAGGATGTTTTGAAAGTAAATAATTGTAATGCAAATACAAACAACTTAAAAAAATACTGTTCACGTATTTGATTACATGATTTCGTGTTTCTGCTTTCAATTTATATTCGTATATAGTCACATCCATAATCGTCATTTGTTATATGAATAAATCCTTTCTTCTTATTACTTAAAAATGATGGCAGTTCAATGCGGATAAAAGCAGCTTCCGGAGAGTATCTTCATCTATCTATGTAATGTCTATCAATTGATTCAATTCTCCATCCGACACTTTCAGGAATTCAAGTTGCGATTCTGTTAATGATTTCAGCAAATGCTTAATTTAATCTTTAAACCTTTTCGTATTTCATTGTAATTTAATATAACAATAAAGCTTTTGATTTAAGATAATTTGACTTTTAAACTGCATCTGCTTGGCTGCTTTTTAACAGAGGTTTACAAATTAAAAAAACAACACTTTTATCTTTATAACATTAGAAAGTGTTCTAATTCGAGTTAATAAGATTCTTCTTTTTAGATGGCTATATTTAATTCATGTATCAATATCAAACATTTTCATGCATTCATTTTGAGATCTTTAAATCTCCATTTCTAATATATATTTATTTTAAATCTTTAGGCAAAATAATATAATTAAAAGAAACAAATGTATTCTAATCTTCATTTATTGCTCTTTAAGTCAAAACAACCTTTCTAACCTTGCCAAAAGAATCAATACCAAAACGAACTATTGAAAAAGAAAAATAACACAAAAACGCCAAAAAAGAACGAGGAATTAGCAATAGCAGAGATTTTCACATTACAGATCTCTTTCAGAGATTGCTTTACAAATCGAATCTTTTGAGCTCATTGTTCCACAACAAAAACAAAAAAAGCCTTTTGATGTACTTTAATTTTAAAGTTTTTTTTGGGCCGTTCGCTCTCATTTTCATTGTATTAATAGATCCGTTCTGACTACATTAAAACTACACAAATTTGTTATAAAAATGGATAATTTAAAAGAAAAAAATGTATGGAAATCCAAGTGTTGTACAAAGACAATGCAACTTCATTTTTATGATTTTTAGTTCAACGCAACCGAAGATGAGATATTATTATGGCAGGGGGTCTCTAGTGTCCGTCGTTGTGCGTCAATTTGTGTTTCAAACAACATCTCTCCAATCCAATCCTTGGATCAATGTTGTTAAATCTAAGAAGGATTTTCTTTCTTTTTGTCTTTTTTTCAACATTTCTTCAAATCTATTAAATGAATTCCATTCCATACTGAACTCTATTTGCTATTGCATCAGCAAGAAATCTTCTTCTAGAGAACCACAAGGACTAGTGCATAGATATTTGGTGTGCACGTTTTCTTAGTAGGTATCTATTAAGTTTGTTCAAGCAATAGCCCACTCATGGGTCAAAATTGTTATGCTACAACTATAAAGTTTGGATTAGATGCACATTTGCAGATGCCAACTTGAATATCAGTTGACCTAGATTTTCATCATTTGACCTACATTTTCTATTTACATCTACAGATATGTTAAATTTGGACTAGAATCACTGTTTCAAACATATAATTGAACTTTCACATTATTTGACCAGATGTTGATCCAATTACTAACCTTTGGAAATTTTCATTTTTAAATCGGGTGCAAGGGGGACATGAACCATTTGAATTTCCCAGAACCGTACATGAACAGGTTAAATCAAACCGAGCCCGGAACATTTTAAATTTTACCGTTTTTGAGTGTTCTGTAGGAATTCTGTTTACCTCGGTTTTGATTTTACAAATTACTAAAGATCTTCCGAGGGATCACTTAGTTTTCAGATATTTATGAGCTATTACTGTAATTTGTTAGCGCATGAAATATTCATTCAAAATAAAAAACACTCATTTGCATGTGAACCTTTTTTGGTTTTATTTATATGTACTCGTATAAGAAAAATGCTTTCGAAAAATAAAGTAAAGTAAGAATCAATTCAAGTTATTGTTGATTAATTTTAATCAGGATTTTTTTCAGGATTATGACAAAACATAAACTATAATACATTTACACTTGACATGATCTTATTGTTTTCAAATGATCAAACATCTCTTGTGTTGTTTAGTATAAAACGTTAAATGAATGTATCTTTTTTATTGTGATTCTTTTCTTCTTAAATTTATTGTTTATATGTTTTTCTGAATATATAGTGGCTTTGCGGTTTGGTTTTGTTTGTTATTTGTTCTTTTTTTATATAAAAATTGAAAACTATTTCATCGGGTAGCTATTAAAAGTGGTAGTGTTGTAGCTTGGAGAAGCACATTTTCAATTAAGCAATGACAACAGTTTTCAACAAACAACACTCATGGAGCGAAAGAAATATGTACCAGTTAAATTATAACTTTTCTTCAAATTAAAAATGGTTTGAGAACCTTGCTCTAATTTCTCAGACAAGGGTGATTTTTACCCACTATGTCAGTTGGCAAGACGTGGCAATGCTTAATGTATGATTATTTGAGGTTTAATATTTATGTATGACATTGTACATTATTTGAGATATTAAACAATTGTATGAAAAAATAAATATATATCGTATGTAACAAGATAATAACCTGAAATGTTGTTATAATTGATTGGTCTAATAATGCAGTTATTTCTTGTTTGTGAACAGTTCGCAATTTATAAACATAATTTATGAATCACTTTGAAATTAAAAACATTTAAATCTGAAACCTCTATCAATATGTATCAAAATTCTCATTAGGCGCTCAAGAAATGCGACCATTCTCCGTGCGTACTTTTTTCTTGACAGCATAAATGGTCATTTGTATTTTATCCAATTTACTTATTATAACCATACATTTTGAAAATATAATTTTCAATGCAAGTTATGGCGTATTCACTACTGTTTACTGTTGTTGACATAATGAGAATATATTTTGCAGACATCAGGCAAGACAAGAGTTGTTTTCAATAAGGTAAAATTTGAGTTTGCTCATGAAAGAAAAACGAATAACATCAATGTAGCCATAATGATCAATATCGAATTCCTCATCGAAAAGACAAAACAATTTAATTTTATTTTCACTTTAAATGTTATTACCTTCTCTTTTTTAGATATAGATTAGGAAATCTGAAATCTTTGATTTTGTCTCTGAGTAATATTGTAAAAAATAATCTGTAATGAATCAGGATTATATTTTGACTTAATTCATACTGATACTGAAGAAGTTGGATATATTTTAATAAGCATAGCCACTATACACTTAACAGACAACTTTAAGTTGAATAAAAGCAATTCTTTGTGTCTCATCATACAGACACTGCGATTTTATTTTTTAGTGCAAATCTGTTTTTTTGAATTAATACTTGTGCTTGCATAAAACCTGCTGCGCTCCCTTTGCAGCTCAGCGAATACACTCTGTTGCTTCTCACAGTAATCGAAAATGATTTATTCGACTGATGCGCGGGACAGTTAAAAGCTGCGCACGGAGAAATCGCGTTGAAAACAAGCAGGATTCTCTTCTTTCTTCTACTTTATGCACAAAGCGTGACTCATCGCGAAATTTGCAAAGAAATAAATGCTATTGCGACCCCTGTAGTTTTATTATCTAAACATAATTGTCAGACTTTACAACCTCTTATTTCCTTTCAAAATTCCATGTTGCTAGTTCCGCCCGTTGTTTTCTCAATTATGGCACATGCATTCTTGCCCTGTGGGGGGCATATCCCGCTTTTCATTTAATGGCACTTACGTGTCCCATTGAATTTTCTACGACAACCGCCGCATTAACACATCTGTGGATGTTTCTAAATTCAAAGTTTCTCGTGAACGGTTGTCTACCGTCCTTGTAGAGGCTCAATTAAACCGAGTCTGCAACAATTTCAATGTTGCCGTTACAGACTTTCGTTTCCCTCTTTTGTAATAAACTTATCTCGTCTTTGACCTGACTACAAGAATCAATGCAATACAATATTAGCTTTACTTATAATTTAATTTTCATTATTGTTAAGTAAAAATGACTCTCCTTTGAAGAGGGTTATGAAAATTACTTTTGACTTTGAGAAAAAAAATGTATAGAAAACCAAGTGGTGTATAAAGACAAAACAAATTGATCAAACAAACAACTTAAAATAAAACAAAAAACAATCTTAAGAATCTTATTATAAAAATCCAAGAGATTTATTGCTCTACCGTCACACATTTGTCAGGCTTACATAGAGCGGTTTACAGGAAATTGCTGTCACTGCTTCATGCAACATGCATAAATGATTGGGTTAAGCTAGTTAAATCAGCGAAAAATATCAAAGTGTGCTTCTACGCATTTTAGTCCTAATTTATTTTAGAAACAGATTATAAATACACAGGGAATGAAATAATTATTCTTAGTCTATTAAAAGATTTTTGTACATTGAACTTATTACCTTAACTGTTCGATGTATTGCTTTCAATTTACTTAATCAAATTGATATGAACTATGAAAATCGGCTGTAAAAGATTCTAATTGTTACAAACTTGACTTTTGTAGTTCCCAATCTTATTTCGTTTTATAGATACTTATTTCATATTTTTTTTGATAAGAAAATCAAAAGATTATTTGAATCACTTTCGACTCTGTTTTCTGGAACTACCCAGTACTTGTCTCATTATATGAAACTTGGTCATGTGTATTGTGAAACAGGACCTTACAATAATATTGTTGAGAGTCAGAAATTTTAGTCTCTTATAAGAATTAAGATTTTATTCATAAATACATTATAAACAATTTCGCCACATCAGTCAGCGGTAATATAGTAACTATTCTTTTGTGTGGTGGCTCTTTTGCACTTTTTTCAAAACAGAAACATTTTCTGACTCAATCATTTATCTCGTTTGTATTCATTGAATGAAAGTTCATATAACATTTAATTTAAATCTTACTTCTTCAAAACAAAGCAATTATAGATTATTAGATTTGGTTAAAGTCATTAAATAAAATCAAACTCAACAATAAGGTACCGTTTAAGGCACAATATAAGAAATTTCAGCATTTTTTATCAAAGGCAAATGAGGTAAATTTAAACTGATTGATCAAATAATGTGGAGGACGCAAAGCTACTTCTCGAGATTTCGAGTTATCTGCTTCTTAAAGTGCGTTCTTTTCTGATTAAGGCCACTTTGAGAGGCAGATGAAACAAAATCAACACTACCAATACCATTTTATATTTTCTTATTTTAAGTCATTTTGTAATGTTTAAAACAATTCTATTTAAAAAAAAATTCCTTCAACGTTCAATAATTTCTTCTTCGAAAATGCAGCATAACACCTAGCAAATTTCTTTTAGCAACTATAAAAAGTCCGCGACATAGAATTTCAATGAATATGCATTGGCGCGATAAGGAACAGACAACGATTAAATTCAACTTAACGGCACATTATACCTCAGAAATGAATGAATGTTTCTTTCTTAAGAAAAGGCCAACATTAGTTTTATAGCGTGTAAATAATTGTTTAGAGTAATTTAGAGGCTTAGGAAAGTAGCGCTGAATGTACAATTATTTATCGTTACAGTAGCGAAACGTAAACAAAGCAGTATTTTGACAATTTATTCAAAATACTTTACGTAATCACTGTATTTTCATGAATTGTCGAAATGCAACAGAAGCAAAAGATGGTTCTG